AAAATAAGTATATTTAGGAGGAATAAAAGGTACATTAGGATCAAGGTGACAGGTTGCAAGGTGTCTCAAATTAAGGCTTCCTGGCTATGATGGTTAATTTCATTAATCTTGTTAATTTGTTAAACTGATGGTCAATTTGGCTGGGCCATGGTGCTTAGCGATGTAATAAAACATTCTGGTTATTTCTGTGAGTGTGGTTTTAGATGAGATCAGTGGACTTTGAATAGAGCAGATTGCCCTCCATAATGTAGAGGGGACTCATCTAATCAGTGGAGGGCCTACATGAAACAGAAACCTGACTTCCCCTGAGGAGAATGGAATTCTACAGACAGATGGCCTTCAGACTTGAGCTGCAGCCCTGGCTCTTCCCTGGTCGTCCAGTCTGCCAGCCCACCCTGCAGATTTTGGACTTGCCAGCCTCTATAATCACACAGATAATATAGGAGATATAAATAATCTCTCTGTGTAAGATAGATAGATAGATAGATGATAGATAGATAGATAGATAGATAGATAGATAGATAGATAGATAGATAGATAAAGATATATAGCTCTCTGGAGAGAGAGAGAGAGAGAGAGAGGGAGAGAGAGAGAAACATACAGACATCCTATTGGTTCCATTTTCCTGGAGAATCCTGACTAATACACTGGAAGAAGAGGGCCTTGACCTAGGACTTAATGGAAGGAGGAAGGCAGTAGGGAGTTTGGCACAGCCATGGTATCTGGGCTTGAGTGTGAGACCTGGTCCTAGGCTGCCCTGGGTGGGGGTGTGCTCCACATGCCCAGGCTGATGTGGCTGCTTGCTGCTCTTGCTTTCCAGGGCATAACCAAGCTGGGCTACCTTTCCATGCTGGGCTATTATGATGGTGTCCAGAGGTCTATAGGCATTAGCTCAGGCAATCTTGTTTTTCTCTCTTTCATAAAGGGAGTAAGGGAGAGAAAGGGAGAGAGGGAGTGAGAAACCTGGACTAGCATTTAGCTCTGCTAAATGGTTCTTGCTTAGTTATGCTTCCCTGGGAAGGAGCCCATGGTGTCCTGCACGTCCTTCACTCTACAATGGGATCACATCTCTGTAGTACGCCATCACTGAGCTGGCTGGCTAAGAAAGCAGCATTCCTGCTTTTCTAGAAACTTCCATACAATATAATTCTCTATGGAAAGTATTTAATAATTGTGGGTTGTGACTCTGATCAAGAAGTAAGCATTTGATAAAACAACAGCATGTGGTTAGAGGCAAAGACACCCCCAAATCTTTAATTATTTTAAATAGTGAAAGTGTGTGAAAAGTCTTATAATATTAGAGCTAAAATGTACCATTAGGGAGGATTTAATCTATTTTTTCAAATGAAGAACAAGATCCAGATAATTATCTGAAATATTTATAGTACTTACAACCCATCTCATTGAGCAGATCTGAGAATAGAACTTATATTTCCAAATAAACACATTCCATTTACCACACTTTAAGAAGGTCCTTGAGAAGGGTTATTCGTACACTGTCTACAGATGTGTGGTAATGGCTATAATGTTTCCTGACTGCATAAAATAGAAGTCTACTCTCTATTCATGTTCTCACTAAAATTAACGTGCTCACTGTAAAATCCTCTAACTAATTGTAAAAACAATGATTGCTGTTCTTTCTTAGAGTTTACCTGGGCTTTGGGGAGACAGTTTGGATAGCCAACATCTCTTAAAATTGCAATCCAGGGGACACCTAATTGGTGATTTTTCTTCTCTCCACAAAAGTTTCTACAATAGGAAGTGACCTTCAGTGTCATTCTGGAGAGGATTCCTTTCTAAAAGTAGCCATTATATTCTTTCAACACTGCATGAACCGACTGGCAAAATGGAAACTTGACTGTCCAGTGGGGGAAGGCAAGCCAGAGCATGGAGCAATAAGTGATCAAGTGGTAAATCCATGGGCAGAGGGTGTAAGGGCCATGGGAATGCTACAAATGTGAAGACAACAGCAGGAAGGGTCGACTGAGAACTGGAGGATGGAGTCAGGGCAGGGCCTCCAAAGATGACTATAGAGGACATTGGGGACCGAAGAGCACACAGATGTTGATTTTAATGCAAATGGCTGCAGTCTCTTATTGTTCCTTTTTTTTCTCCTACAGTTGCATCAGCTCTTCTTCCTATTTTCATGCAAAGAGATACCTTTGATTTCCAGGCATCCTTCTCTTCTCACTTTCCATGCTGGAAGCCTTGCATTGCTACTGTGGCAGCCTTAACTAGACAGAATATCAAAATCTTCAAACTGCTTCATTCCAGCCTCCACCTCACCACTCCATCAAAATTGCCCTAGCCAATGACCACCATACAACTATACAGCCCAATCCAATGAAAACTTTTCAGGGTTCATTCTTACATGACTTTTCAACAGCCTTTGGTATAGCTTGGCCACTCTCTCCTTGAAATCCTTTTCTCTCTGGTCTCTGGGATAGTGTACTCCCAGCACCTCTATTATTCTGCCCCTCCTTCTGCATTGCCAGAAACTCTTCCACTACACAATGTTTACATGTTGGGGGTCCCTCAGGGGTTGGCCCTGGGTCATCTTCCCTTTTCCCCCACTCTGTCGCTCTCTAAGAGAATTGCCTGCCCTGCCCAGAAATACCAAGGTATCTAGGAAGTAGTGGTAGGTATAACCCTCCCCACTAAAAGAAACCCAACATCCAGGTCTGGCAAAAGCCTTCCTATCCCCTCAGGTGGCAGCAGCAGCAGGGGCCAGCTGGAGCCCAACAGCACCAGATACGACAGGCAGGTCAAAGACTCTTAAAATTAAACTGTTATTGGAACTAGAGCCTATAAAACTAGGGCAAGACACCCATACTAAACCTAAACTGGGTATACAACTAATGTAAAGATAACAGAACTCAGTCTCCTAATATAATAGACAAAGTTTCCAAGATAGAATAAAAAAAAAAATCACCTGTCAGACCAAGAACCAAAAAAATCACATCTTGAATGAGAAAAGACAAAGGAACTAACACCCACACTGAGATGAATCAGGTATTAGAATTATTGATAAGATTTCTAAAGTAGCCATTATAAAAATGTTTCAATAATTGATAACAAATTCTCTTGAAATAAATGAAAAAAAATCTGACTAAAGAAACAGAAGCCATAAAAAAAAAAAAAAAAAAAGAACCAAATGAAAATTACAGACCTGAAAACACAATGACAGAAATCAGAAAAACCTTACTGGATGGGCTCAATAGTTGAATGGAGATGAAAGAGGATAGAATCAGTGGACTTGCAGACAGACAACAGAAGTCACCCAATTTGAAAAACAGAGAAAATAAACTGAAAAAAATGATCAGAGATTCAGAGAACTGGGAAATGTTAAGAAAAGACCCAACCCTTATAACCTTAAGAATCCCAGAAGGAGAGGAGAAAGAGGGCAAGGAAAGAGTATTTGAAGAAACAATGATAAAAATGTCTTGAATTTGGCAAAAGACACAAACCTACAGATCCAACAGCATAAGCCCAAAGCAATCCACATCAAAACACACCATAATTTAACTTTTAAAACTAAAATCAAACAAAAGTCTTGAAATCAGTCGAACAGAAACAATACCTTACCCATAGGGGAACAGCAATTTGAATTTGATTTCGCATATGAAATCATGGAAGCCAGAAGAAAGTGGCATACTTTTCAAGTGCTGAGAGAGAAGAATTGCCAACTGCAAATTCTGTATCTGGTAAAATTCTTCTTCAAGAATGAAGAGGAAATAAAAAAGATTCTCAAACAAAGGAAAATTAAAAGAGTTTATTGCTAGCATACCTACAATGAAAGATTGGCTAAAGGAAGTTCTGCAAACAGAAAGTAAATGATAAAAGAAGGAATATTAGAGTATTGGAAAGAAAAAGGGAACAATGAAAAAAGCAGAAATAAGGATACTATAGACTATCTTTTTCTTCATAAACCTTAGAAATCATATTTTATTATTGAAATAAAAATTATAACACCATCTGATGTGCAAGAAAATGATATTTAAAAATGAGGAAGGTAAAAGGACCAAATGGAACTGAGATTTCCATACCTCAATTTAAGGTAAAATATTGATATCAGTAGACTGTACTAAGTCACATGTATATATTGTGATACTCAGAGTAACCACTATAAAACTTATACAAAGAGATATTCTCGAAAACACTATAAATAGGGGCGCCTGGGTGGCACAGTTAAGTGTCCAACTCTTGGTTTCAGCTCAGGTGGTGATCTCAGGATTGTGAGATGGAGTCCTGTGTCAGGCTCTGCACTCAACAGGGAATCTGCTTGGGTTTCTCTCTCCTTCTCCCTGCCCCTCTCTCTCTCAAATAAATAAATAAATCTCCAAAAAGAAAACACTATAAATAAATCATTATGGAATCTTAAAATTATTCAAGTAACCTGCAGGAAGTCAAGAAATGTGAAATGGAGGAATGAGAAGCAAAAGAAACAAATAGAAACCAAATAATAAAATGGCAGACTTAAGCACTAACATATAAATAATTACCTTAAATATAAATGGTCTAAACACTCCAAATGGCAGATTGGATTTTAAAAAATAACCCAACTGTTTATATAAAAACTCATCTCAAATTCAGTGACACAGGTAGGTTAAAAGTAAAAGATGGGGAAAATAAGCCATGAAAACAATTTTTAAAAAAAATCAGGACTGACTTTATTTTAAAGAGATAAAGAGGAACATTACATAAAGGTAAAGGGATCAATCCATAAAGATGATATAACAGTGCTAAATGTGAATGCACCAAACAACCGAGTCTCAAAATACATGAAGCAAAAACAATAGAGCTAATAGGAAAAATAGAAAAATCCACAATTACAGCTGAAGACTTCAACACTTCCCTCTCAGAAACTGAAAGAACTGCTGGATGGAAAATCAGCAATGATACAGAAGATCTGAATAACTCAATCGAACAATAGGATCTACTTGGCATATACAGTAAACTCCATCAAACAGTACTAAGCTAAACATTTTTTTTCCAGCGCCCATGGAACATTCACCAAGTAGACTATGTTATGGGCCATACAACAAACCTCAACAAATTTTAAAGAATTGAAATCATAGTGTGGTCTCTGGCCGCAATGGAATCAGAGAAGAAATCAACAACAGAAAAATAATTAAGTAAGTGGAAAATGAACAACACAATTATAAACAATTAGTGGGTCAAAAGAATCTAAAGGGAAATTTTAAAAAAATACATAGAACTGAATGAAAACAAAAATACAGCATATCAAAATTTGTGGGATGCAACTAAAGAAATAATGTGAAGAAATTTATGGCCCTAAATGCTCATGTTAAAGAAGAGGAAGATCTAAAATCAATAATCTGAGTTCCTACCTCAAGAAACTAAAAGAGAAGAGCAAAATAAACCCAAAGCAAGCAAAAGAAAGGAAAGAGTAGAGATGAAATTTAAAATGGGAAAAAAATAGAGAAAATCGATAAAAAACAAAAGCCAGCTTTTCAAAAACAATCAATAAAATTGATAAATCTCTAACAAGACTGGAAAAAATAAAATGAAAGACATATCATCACTATTAGAAATGAAATGGGGTATATCACTACAAGTCCTGCATCCATTAAAAAGATAATAAGGGAATACTATGAATAACATTAAACTCATGTATTTGACAACTTCAAAGAAATGGACTAATTCTTTAAAAACCACAAACTACCACATCAACCAAAAGTAGATAATCAGAATAACTCTCTAACTATTAAAGAAATCAAGTTAATAACTGAAAAGTTTCCACAAAAGAAATCTCTAGGCCACTACAGAATTCTTCCAAACATTTAAAGAATTAACACCAGTTTTATACAATCTCCTCCAGTAAGCAGAGCAAGAAGGAACATGTACCAACTCATTTTATAAGGCTAATATTACCCTAATACTAAAACCAGAAAAAAACAGTACAAAGAAAATACAGACCAAAAACTCTTGTGAAATTAGATGTTAAAACCCTCAACAAAATATTCACAAACCTTATCCAATAAGGTATGAAAAGAAGTATACACCATAAAGAAGTGGGATTTCTTTGAGGTATGCAAGTCTGATTCAACACTCAAAAAAATCATTCAATGTTAGGCTTCACATCAATAAGCTAATGTAGAAATATCATATAATCATATCAGTTGGCACAAAAAAAGCATTTGATAAAATCCAACACGATTCATAATAAAAATCTCAGCAAGTTAGGAATTGAAAGAACTAACCTCAACTTGACAAAGAATTTCTACAAAAAAGAAATTACAACTAATCTTATACTTAATAAGGAAAGACTGAATGCTTTCCCCAGGAATCTATGAAAAACCTTTTAGGACTACTAAGTGAGCTCAGTAAGCTCACAAGATACAAAATCAACAAAGAAAATGAATTGCATTTCTATATACAAACAATGAACATGTGGAAATCAAAAGTTAAAAAATATAATACCATTTATAATGACTCCAAAGAAAATGAAATACTTACGGGTACACTTAACAAAACCATGTACAGGATCTCTATGCTGAAATTATAAAATGTGATGAAAGAAATAAAGAAAGACCTAAATATATGGCAAGCCATATTGTGTTCATGGATTGGAACACTCAATGTAGTAAAGATGTCAGTTTTCCCTAAATTGATCTACAGGTTTAAGCAATTGCTAAGAAAATCCAAGCAAGGTTTTCTGTAGATATAGACAATCTTATTCTAAAACTTATATGGTAAAGCACAGGCCCTAGAATAGCTAAAACAATCCTGACAAAGAACAATAAAGTGGGAGGAATCATTCTACCCACTATTAAGGCCTGTGTATAACTACGGTAGTCAAAATAGCATGGTAGTGATATAGGGCTAAACACATAGATCAATGGAAAATAGCAAACTCAGAAACAGACCCACACAAATATGCCCAATTAATTTTTGACAAGATGCGAAGGCCACTCAATAGAGGAAGGACAGCCTTTTCAATAAGTGGTGTTGGAGCGACTGGACATTTGTAGGCCAAAAAAAAAAAGAACCACGAGATAAACCTCACACCTTAGACAAAATTAATTCAAAATGGATTACAGATTTAGGAAGTAAAATGCAAAATTATAAACTTTTAGAAAAAAACTGTATGAAGAAGTCTTCAGGAACCAGAACTATGCAAAGTGTTCTTAGACTGGACACAAAAAGCATGATTCATAAAAGGAAAAATTGACAAGTTGGTCCTCATCAAAATTAAATACTTTTGCTCTGTGACAGCTCATGTTCAAAAGATGAAAAACCAAGCTACAGACTGGAAGAAAATATTACACACCATATATTTGACAAAGGACTAGTATCTAGGCTATATAAAGAAGGCACAAAACTCAATAGCAAATACCAAAAAATCCAATTACATACTGGGCAAAAGACATGTATAGACATTTCACCAAAGAGGATCTACAGACAGTAAATAGGCACATGAAAAGATGTGCAATGTCCTTAGCCATGAGGAAAATGCCAATTAAAAACAACGAGACACCACTTCACATGTATCATAATGACTGAAATAAAAAATAGTGACAAGGGGCGCCTGGGTGGTTCAGTCGGTTAAGCATCCAACTCTTGGTTTTGGATCAGGTCATGATCTCGGGGTCATGATCTCAGGGTCATAAGATCGAGCCCTCTGTTGGGCTCCTCACTCAGCTGGGAGTCCATTGAGAGTCTTTCCCTCTGCCCCTCCCAACCTCCCTGCGCATGCTCTCTCACTCTCTCTCTCTCTAAAATAAATAAATAAATCTTAAAAACAAATAGTGACAATACTAAAAGCAGGAAAGGATGAGGAAAAAACTGGATCTCTCATGCATTGCTTGTGGTAATGTCAAATAGTACATCCACTCTGGAAAAGAGTTTGACAGTTTCCTATAAAACTAAACATGCAACTTCCATATGACTCAGCAATTATACTTTCATCTTTTATGCCTGAGAAATGAAAACTTGCATTTACACAGAAACCTGTATATGACTGTTCACAGCAGCTTTATTTGTTATAGTCCAAACTGGAATTCACCCCAATATCCTTTCATAGGTGAATGGTTAAACGAACTGGTACATCCATACCACAGAATACTACTCAGCAATACACAGGAATGAATTATTAGCACACTCAATAACTTCGGTGAATCTCTGGTGATTTATGATGAATGAAAATAAGCCAATCTCAAAAGGTTACATGCTGTATTATTTCACTTATATAACATTTTTGAAATGACTAGTGGCTGCCAAGGATTAAGGATGGGATTGGGGGTAGATAGAGGCGGGTATTATTATGAAAGAGAAAGAGGGACACTTATGATGTTGAAACTATTCAACATCTTGACTGTGTTGTGGATACATGAACCCACTTAGGTGATAAAACTGTATAGGACCAAATACACACACACACACACACACAAATACAAGGAAAATTTGGGAAGTATGAATAAACCAGTGGATTGGAGCAGTGTCCATATCCTGGTTGTGTTATTATACTATAGTTTTACAAATTGTTACTACTGGGGAAACTGAGAAAAGTACACAAAGGATCTGTTTCCTGGATGTGGGTTCTCAACAGGACTAAAATTTTCTCAGTGTCAAGGATAGCTGTTCTGGCTTTTTTTTTTTTTTTTTTTAAGATTTTATTTATTTATTTGAGAGAGAGAGAGAGAGCACAAGTGGGGGGGAGCGGCAGGCAGAGGGAGAAGCAGGCTCTCTTGCTGAGCAGGGAGCCCGAAGTGGGGCTCAATCCCAGGACCCTGGGACTATGACCTGAGCCGAAGGCAGACGCTTAATCAACTGAGCCACCCAGGTGCCCCTGCTCTGGCTTTTTAGTTCTCACACAACACTTAGCACTGAGCCCACCACATAGTAGCTTCTCAGTGAACCCTGAGAATTCCCTTATAATGGATGATATCATCTGATGAAGTAGGCATGGAAGACTGTCAGGACATTTATCAACAGATACTTGGAAAAGTTTCAGTTGTGGGTATTTACCTTTTCCAAGGACAATCTTACATGTCAAGAGCACTGGTGTTTACTTTCAGTACATGCTCTGCATCTGTCACACATACACAGGACATGCACAACTGTGAAGACTGTGGTTGGACAGGGCTTCTGAGTGCTGGTTCTCATAGCAACCAGCAAAGAGCCACTTCACATGTGTACTTGTAAAATCACTGGACATGATTCAGACTTGCAATACAGCTTCTGCTAGGAGTTCGTTTCTTTCTTGGGTTCATATTTTATTATGCTTATTATGAAGCACATCGTGGTTACAAATTCAATACTCAGTGTTGTTTAGTCTCAAAGGACCCTATGTTGGGCCCGTCTATTAACCTTAGATGAGAAATGAGTACACTGAATTCAATTAAACACTTGAGCATTTTCTACATGCAAGGCACTGGCCTGGAATCTCTCGGGGCAACAGAGAGGAATAAACAATGGTTCCTGTTCCCAGGCAGCTAACAGCTCATGTGGAGGGTCTCTACCAGTGCTGTCAGAAAAGACTGGATTTGGTATGAGCTGTCAGTCGGTGCTGATATGAAGCCCTGGGACCTTGGAAGTGATGACTTCTGGTCTGTGGTGGGTGCCCTGGAGAGAGGCACAGGTTTACGGAAATTGCTATGGGCTACAATGGTTAGGAGTCTGTTTGCCAAATCACCCTGTCTCATATGAATCCTCACTTCATCACTTACCAGTGGGTAATATGAGGCCTGTTCCCCTTCCTTAGAATCAGGAAAACATTATCAACCACCCTGAATTGGTGTGAGAAACAAAAGATAATGTATGTGACCTATTTAGCACAGAGCCTAGCATACAGTAAGTGCTGCCTAAATGCTGGCTATTATTACTTAGCTGGGGGAAAAAGATGAACAAGACCTAAGTCCTCTTGAGCTGCTTTCCATCCAGTGGTATGCTAAACACGCATGCAGAGAGATTACAGGGCAGTGGGATCCATGTTATTGCAGACAGGAAGAGATAAGTGTGGCTTGCACTCAGGAGGCCAACAGATGCCTCGTGGTCATCACAGTGCCATTCACAGCTGCCTAAAGCAGGTTTTATTTACACCGCCACCAGCTTTTGTGCTCACCATTGAGTAAGACAGATAATGTGGCCTGAGCTCACTGACTGCTCTGCCCGCTCACCGTGTTCATCTCCTTGTTGCTGGCTCCCCGTGGCACTTGGCTGTTTGCAAAGCTGCAGAAGGAGAAGTGTTTTATGTGGGCTCTCCTGCAGGATATTTGTCCCCTGGGTTACCCAGTATCGATGTGGCCCCAGAGAGAGACCTGCTGAGGACCTATCATTACCACACCCCCTTCAAGCACAGGCACATCCAGCTTGTTTCTAGCTCGCCACCTTTGGTGTGAGAACATTATCTATGCAGTTACTGTTTCTTATCTCGAGAAATGGTCCCCACTTCCTGAGGGGGGGGAGCTCAGGGTGGCAGTGAGATTGCATCTTGTAGCTCAAAGCATCTTTTTTCTCCTTGCTCTGAGTCAGCTTTGTGGGGTGCTGTGATACAGAAAGTGTCTTCTAGGGACTCACTGTCCTGTGGTCCAAACCACTTCAAGGTACAAATCCTCTCTGTGCCCAGTAGCCCCACCTCAGACCCTGGAACTTGGCAGAGCTGGGTGTGCTCACTTCTAGCATCCACCAGACACTGAGTCGTCATCCTCTGCACAGAGAACTATATAGAGAATCAGTCCTAATTTACAATCTGAGGTAGGAACTCTTAGAAATGCCAGTTTGAAGTCCTAGTAAATTTTGTCTCAACATAGTGATCAAGAGTGATATTTTAGAAGGAATAACAACAGAGTGGAAAGCTGTGCCATTTATTTGCTTTCTTGATTAATATCAGTGTACAGGGAACATGGTGGGGTCTGAGGGCTCCACACAATCCACCTGCCCCCGGGGTGTGGGCAGTAACTGCCAGTGAAATAGTTGTGGGGACATGGCAGTTTAAGGTTTGCCAGGTGCAATCTAGAAAACGGGCAGAAGCCGTGAGAGCAAGCATAAGGAAAAGGATCCTTATCAAGGGGAATCTGTGAGATAACCTGCCAAAGAAACACTCAGGTCAGAGTTTGAGTAACCACAGTGGGCGCTGAAGCCCAGCGTGCATGGGCCTCTGACCGAGCCGGGGGGACCCCAGTGTCCTCACAGAAGACTCCAGCATGTGACGGTGGGGTCAAGCAGGCTTAGAACAGGAACTGTGGGGTTCTCTTCTCTGAGCTGGGAGCATGCAGGAGGTGAGCCCAGGGTCCCATCCTGACCCATGCCACTAACATGAAGAGTATATTCTCCTGAGGTCCCAGGATTTGAGACCCAGATATTTTCTCCAGGTGTGAAGGAAAACTCCTGGTTTAGAGAGAACAGCTCCCTTTTTCCCCTTAGCCAAAGTCCCCAGGTCTAGAGACTCTGCTGCTGATCAAAAAGTAGCCCTGAGATGCAAGGCTACAACCTGCACACAAGTAAGGTCTCCCTGCCCCTGAAAAGCCTCTGAGGCCCAGGGCAGTTCCAGCCCTCCCGCGTCCCTCTGCTGGCCTTGGCACCCAGGAGACTATCCTCCTCCTCAGAGCCACAACTCTCTAGCTCGTGGGACTCTGCCAGTCTTTCTCAACCTGTCCCAAAGAATCGTCAAAACTGCTAACATTGTTTTGATCCAAACCCCATTCTGGAGTTTTAAATGTTCCCAGTTTGTTTTGTAAAATAAAAATCCATGCTCCTAGGGTTGGAGGAGTGCTAATTAGATAAGGAAAATGCTTCTGGGTCCTCTGGATGCACAACTCACACTTGGGGAACTGAAAAGAGGCAGAGCCAGACCAGAAGGTCACCAGGATGGTGAAGGTGCCGGAAGCCATGTACGGGAGAAGCCACCAGTGTGGGTGAGCAATGGGAAGACCAAGGGGCACGTGGCAGGCAGACTCCGGGTTTGTCAGGTAGGAGGGGGAAGGACACCAGTTCTTGTAGCTCCAAGGGCAGAAGCAGGACCAAACAGGTGGTCATTTGGAGGGTAGGGGACAGATTCAGTATCCCTAAGCGGGCCTTGAGCCCCTGTTGCTGGTTTCCATAGGGGATGTCTTTATGGGAAGGCTCATGAACAGGATGCGAGAAAGGAAGGGGACACTCCTCAGTCCAGCAGATTAACACCAGCCACTCTGCAGGTGGGCAGACCCTGCAGGCTGCACCCCATGTCAAATCTGCAGCATGGTAGACAGCAATGGAACCCACATACCCCTGAGCGCCCATTACTCCTTGAGTTTGGTGGAGTTGGATATTCAGGCCCTCTGCTGGGGGTTCTGGGGAATGAATTCCTGCTCCGGGTGGGAGGTTGAGCTAAATAAACCCCCAAGCTCCCTGATAGCTCTGAAAGGCTATGATTAAACCATGATTCAACTACTTGTTCTTCAAGTAGATTCAAGTAATGCACTTGGAGTCTAGATCTGTACAGGAAGGAGCAAGCCCTCCAAATCTGGGCACCCCACTGTTCTGGGCACCAAACATCCATGGCACTCTTTTGTTTTCTGTGCCATAGATGTCTGGATTCTCTCAGTCCCATCTTTCACTCTTCCTGCATCTCCACAACACTGGCTTGACTCTGTTTTTCCTAGGGTCTTCTTGCTCCCTGGATGCAGCTATCTGGCTGCCCCCGTGACCCAGGGTTTCCACCAGTTGCTGACCGGGCTCTGGGAGCCCTGGGCCTCACCAGGGTCAGACAAACTTTCCTTCTGTTCAGGCTTGCACAGGTGACCCACTGACCTACTTTTCTGTACTGCTTGGCATAACTCAGCATCCTTGCAGTCAAAGTGCCCCTCCTCCGCGGAGTTGTGATGTTTAGACTCTGTGACAGGAAACATGAGGGTAACGGCCCTGCAGATAAAAATGTAATGCATTGAGGTGTTCATGGCCACCAGGCTGGCTCTGTTTAATTGCACAAATATCATTTATCACGAGACATGTGACAAATTCATCTGCATTTTTTTCCAGCTTACAGCTCTGCGTTCTCTCATGCATGTCCATTAGGTTTGCTTCTCCTACTTACATATTTAAATGAAAACAAATTGGCTCATTTACTCTGAGACGCTCAGCTTGACAGAGATTCAAAGTGTGTGTGAGTGTGAGTGTGTGTGCGTTGTATTTGTTTTGCCTCAAAGGGTTCGGATGTCTGGGTGGAATGGATCATTCAAAAAGAAAGAAATTTCCAGAATGTCTTCAATCATCTGCACAAAACAGAGTCTGAAATTGCTCAGGAAAAACCATTGATAAAACCACCACCACAGACAAAACCCCATCAATGTGGCAGTCTGTTGCAAATGTCACAGCGTCACATATTCTTTATACCTTCACAAAGAGCTGCAACCGATTGTGGAATTACTTTTCCCTGCCTGTCTGAACTGGTTTAGAAGACGGCTGCGAGGGGAGTAAGGCCCCTTGCAATGCAGAATGGGGACATGCTGAAAGGGCTGGACTTTGGAGTCAGCCCCAGGTTGGGGAGGAGGAGGGATGCCGGTTTGGGAGCTGTAAGCCCTCCTTATAAAAGGGAAGTGGGAAGTACAAGGCAGGGGCCCCAAGCAAGGAGAGACCCTCTCCCTGGGAGATAGTTCCCCCATTTTAAATTTATTGTTCTTTTTGAATAACATGAGTAACCAACAGACACCTGATATAGGAGCATGAAGAAGTTCCCTTTACTTCCTCCTCCAATCCCAATCCTTAACCCTGTAATATGTATTCTTCTGGAACTCTCCATGAATCTACATGTCTGGTGCTGAATATATATGCATAAGATTATATGTATATAATCTTACGTATGTGGCATCGGCAGAATTTGTTATCACTGGTTACTCCCTCCCTCTTGAAGCTCTTTCTGCCCTTGGTTTTAGGGGCCCGACCTTTTTGGGCTCTCCTCCTACCTCACTGCTCACTGTCTGGTCCTTCTCCACCTCGCATGCTGGGGTCCTCCTTACACGAGTGACCTCTGGATGAGGGATGGTCCCTGGCTCCATCGGGGACCACTTCTCTACCTCTTTGATCTCTCCTGGCCCTACAGCACTGCATAGCAGTTAGAAGATGCTGGCTCTCAATATGTTCCTCCAGCCTGAAGCTGGACCACCACCTGCTCACCTGACATCTCAACTGGGACCTCTGACACGCCCTGCAAACTGGTCCAAGGCAGAACCCTTGATTTTGCCCCTCCTGAACCTGCTCCTCTCCCAGTCTACCCACCACTTACTGGCCACAGATTGGGAATCCTTGGTTCCTCTTTTCTTTCCATAATCCGAACTGTCAACAAATCCCAGGGTCACTGCCATCCAGAACCTGCTCACTTCTCACCCTGCCCCCACCCCCATGGTGGGGACACAAAGTGCCATGCCTAAACTATTACAGTAGTCTCCTAACCTGCTCACCCTGCTTCAGCCACCTCCAGAAGCAATGCTTTTCACACTAGCCAGACTGAGCTTTTAAAAAGTAAAAGCCATCATGTCATGGCCCTGCTCAAAACCCTCCCTGCCATCCTCAGAACTGATCCAAATGGCCCTGTGTGGCTCACCCACCGCATCTCTCAGTCCCATTTCCCAGTGGCCCAGACTCCCAGGAGAGGGACTTCTGTTTTGCTCCTTACTGCTGCCCCAGCACATAGCAGAGTCTCAATATATGTATTTCAATTAAATGAACTAATTTTTTATTTTCCTTTTCAAACTTTACTGTCTTGGAGATTTTTCCATATTGTTATATATAATAACTATCTCTTACTTCCGAATTATTACAAAGTATTCCATCCCATGGATTTGCCCTGATTTACTCAACTATTCTCTTACTGATAAAAATTTGAGTTGATCCATTTTCACAGGTTTGATTAACAAATAAATCAAGTGGAGAAATTTAGGAGAGGAGTCCCAGTCCTTACATAGGGAACCCCTGGATGGGTTTCAACATGTCTGGGAACTCCCAAAAGTGTATGTGAATATGTAAGTCCTTGACTCAGCGGGAATACTGGTTTCTTAACCTCCTGAAAGTTATAAATCACTGGATCAGGATGTTTGCTTAAACTGATCCAGGCCATCCTCTCTGCTGGCCCTGCCAACCCCTAGTAGGAAAAACTAACCAATTTAGAAGAACACCGTCATCAGTCCAGAGACCTTGAGGCAGTGTATTTTGGGTGACGGGGCCAGAACTGGGAAGGGTAAACCTGCTGCTACTCCCTAGTGATCTATGGCTGCCTCTAGACTTCCTCTGGCCTCCTCTTCCCCTTCTGACCATGGGCCTGATAAGATCTGCCTACCTCCAGGTAGCATGTAGGAGATGCCTTTATAACTGTAAATTGCTCTTTTGCTTTTCAGACTTCCCAGTTTCTCCATCTCCTAATCCCATACAAATGATGGTATATGAAGGTAAAAAAGAGAAATACAAAACAAGACCATGATGAGATGAAGTTGATGAGAGCACCATGAGCTCTTTAAGATGCAAAGAATCTCTGAAAATTCTGCCAAGGAGAGCAGATGCCCCCAGACCCCTGCCTTGCTGAAGGATGTGTTAGCCGTGCAGCTTTGGGCTGCTGTCAGTTCTTCCCTGCCTCTCAGCAGCTCCTGCTGTGGCCATCAAGTCGCTTAAAGCATCAGGAAGGAGTGTTGCTGGTCAGAGTTGAGGGAGAAGGAGGTGATATTCTGTACCAAGCCCTGAGCAGCAGGTCCCCTCCCAGCCCTCAAGGAGCAAGGCTTGCCCACTGCCAGTCTCTCAGGAGACCCTTGTCTGTCTGCTCCCTACAAGCTCCTTGGGGCTCTAAATGCCAAGTCCTGGCTCTCACTCTGGACTGAAGAGTATGGGTGATACGCAGTTCTCCAATCCAATGTCAGATATCTCAACATATCTTACTGACAAATGAGTGGCTTCGATGCTTTGGGATAGAAGAATATAGTGAGTGGTCAAATTTGAAGATCTGTATTGTTAAAACTAATATTGTATTATAAGTCTAATACAGCATAATGATTGAAAGCATAGACTAAAAGCCAGACAACCCAAGTATGAATCCCAGCCACACTGATTATCTGTGCTCTCAAAGGAGTTTCATTGCTCTGTCCCTCAGTTTCCTCTTCTGTAAAATGTCAAGATAGTGGCTCTCCGTGGTAGAAGTCCCTGGCTGCTCCCCCTTCTCTGTAACGGCAGAACTGTGGGGTGGCACGTGCTGGTGGGCTCTACCACGTTTCCCAGCCTCCCCAGCAGCCTGGCCATGTGACTTCATCTCTCACTGAATAAGTGGGACTGACTCGTGCTATTTCTAGGTCAGGCCTTGGAAGAGCAAGTGTCTGTCACTACACTCTTGTCCTCCGCCTCTGATGGCTCGAGTAGCCGGGATCAGAGCAACTTTAGAAGGCACATGTAGACAGTGGTAAAGGGGCCATCAGCCTGACCATGTTGCCTTCCAACTTGGAACAGAGGTGGTCACGAGAGAGAGAGATAATATTCCATCTGGTTAGAGCCACTTCGTTTTTGTTTCTCTTCCTTAAAGCAGCTATTGTTATTCTCACTAAAGCCCTGCTTCACAGAGGTGTTGGGAGTATTCAGTATGTTACTAAATACAAAGGGATTAGGACAGCGCCTGGCACAGAGTCAGTGCTGTATACACGTCGGCTAAAGTACTGGTGATGAAACTCATAATAAAACATCATCACGTAATTAGGAAGGAGGAGCGTATGTAAAAATCATGTGGTGTATTTCGATGCTCTGTATCAATAATGCATGCCTGATGCAGAGTTTTCTACTGTCCAGGCCATAGCTCAGCACCATTGCCCAGACTACCCACAACTGGCTGGTAATACAAAATAGTAAAGCATATGGCATTTTGGATTGTGTCTTTGATTACAAAAGTTCTTTAGGATGACTAAAATAGTGTACCCTTCTTAGAAAGTTCCCAAGAAGAGTGATTAGAAACTTGTGCCAGGGAGACAGGAATGGAGTGATAACTATCATGCCGGATGACTTTCAGTTACTTAGAAATATAAATGTGAAGAAAACTGATACGCCACCCCTTTTCTAAATGTGACTGCGTTAGGTATTTCTTTGTGTCTTCTTTCCTGCTTGTCCACCCTTACATTGACACTTTGGGTAAGTGCATTTCCAGAAAATGTGGGGTGTTCATGACCACTGCAGAGTTCACAGCCCCTACAGTGGTCAACCTGGGACGCATGCTCCCCTGGTTGCCTAGTTACTGGAGGAGAGGGAGCTGCAAACGAGAGGAGCTGGGAGAAGGCTGTCCAGAGGAATAGCAGGTATGTAGTTCACGGGGTGGCCAGGAGTCTTTTGTTCTGATAAGTGCACAGAGTTGCTGCGGCTTCACCATGTGATGGCCCAGGCAAAGATAGCTGCCCCCGCTGTCAGTCCATAATAACATACATGCAGCACCCACGGGGTCGCCACCATGTCAACTGTGTTGATCCCTGCTTTGGACAAGAATGAGAAATGCCTGAACTATTTCCAGCTCCCCTGTATGACAGTGTTGACAAGGACCTCCCACTCCCCAGCCCTGGATCTGAGCTGGAGATGGACAGCTCCCAGACTGAACCCTAGGTGGCAGGAAGGCTGCCATGCCACAATTACATCCTGCAGCCCAAGACCAGAGTACTCCTCGCATCACACCGGCATTTGTGAATTAGCTCTGGAGGTCCATGTAGAGCTAGATAAACAAAGGACACTGAGAGCTGTCTGACTTCCAGCCTATTAAGGGATCCCAGAATTCTCCATTACCTGTGTAGCCCCTATACCTAGCCAAGTGCCTGAGTAACGTGGCTACCCACACATTTGATATGCCTGAGTGCAGGACTAAGTGAGCAGAAGGTAGGTCAACATGTGGTCACAGGCCCAGACTATGGGCGCAGACAGCCTGGTTCTGCCACTCACAGGTGATACAACCTTGGCCTAGGTCCTTTCTGCTCTCACGCCTCAGTATTCTGATCCATACAATGGGAACAGATAGAACCTAACAGAGCATTGAATGGATTCAAGACAAGGAAGGCACAGTGCTTAGCATAGAGTCTTCGAAACAGTATTTGGTCAATAAATAGGGTGACAATCTCAGTTGGACGCATCTGTTGTCCTGGAGTAATCATCAACAGCACCCGCGTTCACATTTAAGTGTCCCAGTTTGAGTGATAAATGATAGATCCTATCAACAGATGATGATGGTGGTGATGATGATGATGACAACTACTAATTGGGTCAGGAGGCTAGTGAAGCACCGGGAGGGATCCCTGAATGCGAGCTTGAGCCAACAACCAAAGCATCTTCCCTCTTGGCAGCATTCAGCTGTACCATGCATAAGCAAAGTGATACAGGTCATCACACGTAGCACAGATCAAATCAGAGACTACATATGTGATGTTCTGTTCGAAAGGGATCTTGTCCTTATGGAGCCTCTGGCCCTAGCAGATGAGGACAGTGAGGAATAAATAAGGCAGCCAAGAGCAGATGTGAGCAGGACAGTGAGCAAAACAGCATGGCAAGTCCCCAGGGTAGGGAAGCTAGTGTGCTTGCTCACACAGATGCAGAAATACTCCTAAGAGCTCAGGGTGGGACTGGGTTATGGAAGACCCTCTGAAGATAATCCCATGACTTTCTTCCTGATCTTGGTTTCTCTCAAGGACTTCCCTTTGTTTTCTCCTCAACAAGGAGCCTTGCAGAGATATCACAGATGATGACAATGACAAGCATGTGTGGGGTAAAGCCACTCAATAACCCCCAAGCACTGCACGTGCCACCAGTCATTCCTTTACTTCAGCCACCAGTCATTCCTTTACTTCAGTCAATAAGGCTAGCGCGGTTATCACCATGTAAAGATGGGGACGTGGAACTTGGGAGATGAAGCCATTCTTCCAAGGTCTTCCTGCTGGAATGGGCGGGACTGGGACTTGAACTGGGTCTCTCCAGCTCCTGGGACATCGAGAGGCATGCGCCATGACATAGTCAGAATGGGAAGGCTCCCTGCAGCCCAGGCTGGCTACTGCCCCCCCAACAGTCACCACTGCCATGGAATAAGCCAGAGAGACAGGTATGAAAAGACCAGGAATGCCCCATGGAGGGAAGTCCTGCCTTCAAAGTACAGCCCACAGAGAGACACAGAACATGTGGAGTGTCAGCTTTGTGGGAGTGCCAATCTGAGTCTCACCCATGTCCCCTCTGGGCAGTGGGTATCTCCCTTAAGGATAATAGCAATACTCAACATTACATGAGCACATATTATGTGCCAAGCTCTAGGTTTGATGCCCCACTTGAGTTATTTCTTTTAATATTCACAGGAACCCCCATGAGGTGAGTGTATCTGAAAACACGTACAAACCCCCATCATCAGTCCTGGCTAGCTTCATCTCATAGGCAGAAACTCAGTGACCAGAAGCTTCTGGAAGTTAGAGCCCAGAAGTTCTAACTCAGGGCAACAATTTTAACCCCCTCTGAGTATGAAGTGGGACAAATTCCCACCTAAGAGCTAGTGGGCCACGGGTGGTAGCAGGTGTGAGTCCTGAACAAGTATGAATCTTTCTGGTCAGTTGGTTTCCTGGCACCATCTCAAATTGTGTGTGTGTATGTGCATGCGTGTGTGTGATGAACACTCAATTCTAACAAAGAAAATCACAAAATGTGGAAAATAATTTTTCTCTCCAGCAGAGAAACATCAGGGATTACAAAGTACATTAATGGTATAATATGCAGGAAGGGGGTCAGGTTGCTGGCTTTGGCCTTGGAACATAGGAAGGAGCTGTAAGAATAAAGATATACCCCAACAGGCATCCAAGAATAGACTGTGTCAGAACCTCAGTGTGTTCCTGGGGTGAAAGGCAAGGCCCCAAATGCAGAGGTACAGGAGTGGGCCTCCAGTTCCTGGGGCCTGAAACAGGAGGCATAGGCAAGGGTAGGGCCAGGAAAGTCTGAGCGAACAGAGATTGTCCAGGCAGGGATTCAAGCACAAAGACCCAGTTATCCACTTGGCTGTAAGGTGGGAACTTAAGAGGAGAAAGGCAGGAGCCCAGTTGTTAGGACTGAGCTCCAAGAGAAGAGCAAGAGGAATCAGACACTGAATCCCATTTCCATATGAGGAGCTCCTCCAGTGTCCCCGGACTCAGGTTGAAAGAGCTAAGGGCTGCGCTGTAGGTGCAGGTCATGGAGAGGTGTGGGAGCAGGGCTGGGAGAAGAGAGACCTGACAGGTCCCACAGGAGGTCTCCAATGTTGGAATGGACATTGTGCAAGTAAAACCCAGCAAATAGCAGGACTGGACATGACCGCTCATGCATTGATTTTCAGAGGGGCCCCCAGAGTGCCCAGCTTCCAGTATGCTTCTGACAGCACACTGTGAAATCTTTGGAAGCGGTTCCCTTGTTTGTAGTTCCAACAGGAATTGGTTTCCCCAAAAGTAGGTCAGGAGCTCCTGGGAAACTTATGGATTCTGACTTTGATTTTTCCAGCTTGAAGTTCAAAGAGCATGAATAAGTTCACTGGAAGAAAAAAAACATTAACTTTTTTTGCAATCCAAAACATGCTTGGCATAAAGTGAACTAAAAACTGAAGGAGTTGGGAAAACCCTAGTTGTGGCCTTGCAAATACCCACTCTTTGGCCCTACTGGGGACAAGTGGGACAGGTACAGCCCTAGATACAGACACCATGACACCAGATGACCCAGCATGTTCTTGTGCTGCTGCCCTCTGTCCATTTCCACTTATTGAAACTGCCTGTCTGCATGAGTCACAAGAACGATTTAATATCTCAGTGAACATCCAAAGCCTCCTGTATAATGGACAGGTTTCTTTCTCTCTCTTTGCTAGAAAGAGGAAACAAGGGGATTCCAGCAAGGGGGTAGGCATCACTTCACCCTTGGCTCATGGCTCATGATATTAGTATGAGTATGAGCCAAGGAAAAACCCAGATCTTTAAGAACCAGGACCACATCTTGTTTATTTTGCATCCACAGCAGTATTTAGCTCAGGACCTTGTCCAGAGTCAGTTCTTAATGAATAAATGAGCAAGGAACAAAGCTTGTGTCCTCAGTGTCTGGCAGAACAGTATCTGCCTTTTGGAGGATGGGGTTAGGCGTAAGGCACAGACAATGAATCCCACTCCGCTTCTTGCCAACTTCAGGGGGCTTCCATAGTTTAAGCCTGACCGGCATCACCTCCACCTTCTTTAGGCAACAGCATCCTGGATTTTCCAGTGATCTACCATCTCTTCTCCATTTTTTATTTAATTAATCAGATTTGGGCAGACATGACTACCCTAGATTCCCGTGGTCATGTGACCTGACCCAGAAAAATCACAGAACCAAGTGAATGACTTATAAATGATTTCATTTTTGGAGGCCAAGAACTCCTACATTAGAAAATGATTTTATTCAAGTAAGTCGAGATGGCAATATTCATAATAAACTGCTTTCAATGGCCCTGGCCTCTCACCTTGAAAATGTTAGATGATTATAGCAGTAGATACAGGTTACTGTGTCCTTAGACATCAGAGAACATTTATACAAATGAATAAGTGGGAACAAATTAGATTCCATCTCATGTTGATAAAACTTCAACAGGAACAAGCACCCCTTGATCTGATTGTTGGAGCCAGCTCAGCTACAGGGAGATGTGTTTCGAAGTTTGTGCAGGAATCAGGGTGGAATTTATAATGCATCTTGAAGATTTTATTCTTCAAACACATATATTAATGCACAACAAAGAAAAGCAGCCTCATCCACAGCTTGGTCAACTTGCTGACTTTGGAATGAGGGTCTCAGAAAGTCTGTGATTTCGTCACCTGTGATCTTCTCATTTCTGGCCAGGTCCTAAGCTTTTGGTTGGGGTGCTGCCAAGAGTTCAGTTCAGTTACCTCCCACCTAGACATGGTCTCTGTTGGCTCCATGGTTGGGAAGGCCTGATCAACAACCAAGAGGTGGTGTCATCATCTGCATTGTCTATGGGATTTGCCAAGGTTGGCCACTCCTGGGTGGGGAGCCAGACACCAAGCCTAGGGCCATCAGATTCGCAGTTAGGTCTGTTAAGAGTCACTTTTGTTCCAGGGTAAGTGGCATTGAGTAGCTCCTCCACTAGGCTGAGTAAGGGGGCAATGGCCTCATCTTCTGAAACAACCCCTGGTTTCAACAATTCCTTAGGCCAACCCAAGGGTCACATGGGCTTTTCACATAACTACTGGAGAAGGGCGGCCTGACTCTGGGCTGGGACCCAATGTCTTGACTATGCAGTGTCAGGCTGTGGGCACCTCAGGAGGGAGAGGGTCCCCAAAATGTCTGCCAATGTGGAGCCTCCACAGAGAAGAGTCCATCCCAAGGGGCTTCCGATGGCAGAAGACACAATAAAAGTCATCCTCATTCCTTGGAAATGTTTCAAAAATGAATATGGAAGCAGAATTAGTTTCCATCCTTCTCATTGGAGAACCAGTCCTTTGGATTTGCCAAACTTAGTTTCCAGGTAAAAGGTTGCCAGCTTGAGACTCATTACTATTTATCAAAACCAAAAGATGACATAATTGGGGATTTGATCTTTTATCACTCCAGTATTTTTTTTAATACTACTATTAGTCATCTCTAAATTGAAAACAGGGGATGAGGGTGCCAAAGTCACATTGCTTAATTATCCACAAAGAACCAGAACTCACAGGAATTCTGACTTCTGGACCATCCAGATCCACCAGGGAACAACCCCACCTCCTGAACGCACTACATGTGCTCAGCAGAGATTTGAGTGGAGACATGATGACAGGACTACCCCCTTCCCAGAGCGAAAAGTCTGCATGCTGTATGACTATGGCTAGCACTGGAGTTACATCCTCCCTCCATTCATCCAAAACATCCTTTCCAAAAGGAATTCCTTCTATGAAGCCTTTTAACAAGTCCGATGCTCAGCTCAGGAGACCCTACCAGAATTTACTGACTTGAAACTACAATTTTAGTTGAGGGGATCATAAGAACTAACCAATTCCAGTGTGTGTGCACCCTTCGTTATAATCTTGTTTCCCCCTGCTTTATTTTCCGAAGGTATTGATTTTTTTTCAATTTATTTTTAAAGATTTTATTTATTTACTTATTTTAGAGAGAGAGAGCATGTGCTGGGGATGAGAGGGGCAGAGAGGGAGGGAGAGGGAGAGAGAATCTCAAGCAGACTCCATGCTAAGGGCGGAGCCCAAAGCAGGGTTTGATGGCACAACTCTGACGTCATGACCTGAGCGCAAAGCAAGAGTCAGACACACAGGCGCCCCTCAAAAGGTACTTGAAGGAGCTTGCACCTTTAGTTCCTTTCTATCTTGTGCTCATGTTTACATGGTTTAAGCTTCCACAGTGATTGGCACAGCATGTGAGAGCAGCTGCAGGAGAGGAGGCACGGTGTTTGCAGTAGAGGGGTGGGGGACCTGCCTGGGGAACAGCAGACAGAGACCTGGGCGACCACCCTCCCAGCAGAGGCCAGGAGCGTGGACGCATGGTGGGCAAAACGCCAACTGGTCTCATGGCATCTGTTTGTTTCCATGCTTCTGGATTTAGCATTTAGGTGCACACACCCCACCTTGCTTTCTCTGACTCTATGTTCAGAACGGCGTGAGGGCTCCTGCCTGTCCTTCCCCTTCCAGGGAGAGTGAACCCGCTCAGTGAAGAGGCATGTCACTCTGACAGTGCTCAGGTACTACCCCACGCCAAGACCAGCAGGACGGTGACACACCCATCAGCAGAGGAAGCATGCAGCCTGAGGCCTATAACCCTGTGAGGAGCTCACAGAACTGCTTTAGTTTTAATTTATTTTAAAGTCAGAACTAAAAAGGACTCAACAATAATGGAAATAAGATAATGAATCCAGCCTGGATGATATTCACCTTTATACAATGCAGTCATAAAATATAATTTTTAATATTTCTTTTATAGAGGAAGCAGCCCATAAAGGTAAAGGTGCCCAGGGTGTATGAAAGCCCTATGTGTGGGGCGCCTGGGTGGCTCAGTCGTTAAGCGTCTGTCTTCGGCTCAGGTCATGGTCCCAGGGTCCTGGGATCGAGCCCTGCATCGGGCTCTCTGCTCTGTGAGAAGCCTGCTTCTCCCTTTCCCACTCCCCCTGCTTGTGTTTCCTCTATCACTGTGTCTCTCTCTCTCTGTCAAATAAAGAAAGAAAAAAAAATCTAAAAAAAAGAAAGCCCTATGTGGCCTAAAGACCTGAAATCTTCTGACTAGAGGAAACTGGAAAGCCAGAGCACAGAAATGCCTTTTTCTTTCCTTCTTTCAATCATTCAATCCTTTCTTTTTCTTTCTTCCTTTATTTCCTCTCTCCTTCCTTCTTTCCATGTGCCCGAGGGGGAAAAAAAAATGTGCACCTGAAATAGTAGCCAGACAGCCTGCTCTGTCAGGGAAGGTATTGAGAGGGAGACACACTACCAACCTCCAATGACAAAGAAGCCTGTGGGACACAGTGGGAGATGCCTTGCCTCCAAGACCAGGCCTTCCTTGGGATCCTCGCCCTGCCTCCATCACTCCTCTGATTGATATTGTTGAGCAACTACTCTGTGCCAGGCGCAAGGATAAGGACCCTCCTCTGCCCCCTAGGCCCTCCCTGTTGGGAAGGGACGTGGAACAAAGAGGCAATGACAAAGCAGTGTGACACACACAGTGAGTGATGCCATGGTCAGGTGGGCCCGGCTACCAAGGCAGGACTATTTTCCAGAGAAGAGCCCCTGGAGCCCAGTGATGAAAGGTGTGGGAAGGCCAGAGTGTGAGAGCAACATAATCAGGTTTGTATGTCAGACCACTCATTGTGTGGCCTGTGGAGAATCGATTGCAAGGAGACAAACCGGAAGCAGGAAGGCAATTAGGGAAATGGAAGTAAACCAGGAAGGAAGGATGTGGATCTGAATGACTTTGGAGGCGTCAGGATGTAGAGGAACCAAGCAAACGTGAGAGACAAGGACGTGACCCAGATGGGTGGGGTGGCTCAAACCCCCTGGGTCATCGGGAGGAGGGGGCATCTCCTGGGAAAGGCCCAGAGAGGAGGTTGGGTGGCTGGGTCTGGAGTGTGTTGATTTTGAGAAGCACCTAGATGGGCTTCAGTGGGCACATGGGAACCTGGCAGATAGTCTAAGTCAGAGAGGAGCAGGTTCCTCAAGTGAAGGAAGGCTCGGGTTTGGATGAGCCTACCTGTTCTGTGGTTGCCTGAGGCAACCAGAATGAATATTCCAAGCTCTAGGAATTGTTGGCTTTTTATCATGTCTAGAGAAGAGTTGGTGCAAAATGCCTTCCTGGGCCCCTTGACGGAGAGTCTGTGACTCTGAGGACCACTGGGAAACAGCAATGGGCTGCTGTCCATAGGACAGCGATCCCTCGATCTCCCCGGCTGTGCCTGGAGCCTAGCACCTCAGGCCTCAGCCCCCACACCCACTGCCTGCTCTCTGCAGCCATCTGTTCCCAGGCTGAGAAGTACTGGGCTCTGAGCTCGGTCCCCACAGAAGAAATGGAGCATGAGGAGG